TAGCTTTCTCTGTCTAGGTATTGCATCTTATGGAATCAGGTGACATGTGGCTTTTTGAAATTGGTTTCTTTTGCTCAGTCAATATTTTCAAGGATCGTCTACCTACATTGTAGCATTCATCAGAATATCATCCCTTTTTATCACCAAATAATATCCCACATGTGTCCTGAAGAGTTTATTAATTCAACAATTGATGGATATCTGCATTGTTCTCATTTGAAGACTAGCAGGCCTAATGTTGCTATGGATATTCAGCACTTTACTTATTTATTATTTATTTATGTAAATATGTATGGATTGGGGGGATTTTTTTTTTGAGATAGATTCTCACATTGCCAAGGCTGGCCTTGAACACCCAATCTTCCTGACTCCATCTCCTAAACTCTGGGATTACAGGTGTGCATCACCATGCTTGGCACTTTTTTATAGTTTTTAGTCCAAATGATATCTCACGATTTTATTATTGAGATAGATGATTCACAGAATTCAATTGGGAGGATTTTTGCTAGTTTCTAAGTGTCATATTTTAATTTACAAGGAAGAAGAGTGCTGAAGACTTTCAAGCCATTAGAAAATGGGTCTCTAAAACATTCTTATGCTTCACATCAAGAAAAGTCTTGCTTCACTAATGTCAATCATACGGGGCTAGAGAATTTCTCCTTAAGACCTTATTGTGGGGAGATAGCTCGGTCAGTAAACTGTCTGCTGTATAATCAGAGTGACCTGAGGTGGATTCCCAGCAGCCACAATAAAAAAAACAAACCAAACAGGTACAGCAGCAAGTACCTGTAAATCTAGCAGAGAGAAGCAGACGCTGGATCTGTGGAGCTTGCCGCCAGCCAGGTAAGCCAATTGGTGAACTCCAGGTTCAGTGAGGGATCTTGTCTCAAAGATTGAGGTGGGGAGTGATTGAGGATGACCTCTGACATCCAACTCTGGCTTCAACATGCATTCTCACCCTACATGATCATGTACGAATACTGCCCCCACACACACACTCACACACTCACACACCTGTGTACACAAACGCAAAGAGTTTAGTGTGATGATAACTTGAAATGTTTGCACATAACCACTTTGTTGAAAAAGTTTCTCAGGATATTTGTGGGTAAAATATTAGTTCTGGATGGGGAAGCAAGCATACATACTACCCAAACTGTGAGACTCTTCTGGCCCTGAGAAATTCTTATGATTTAAAAAAAAAAAAACTATTCTATGATGGTGGCCTAAAAAGCAACTATACAGTATTTCGACTCAGTGACCTTGACTGTGTGGCTTCATGGGAGTGTCTCTTGTTCTATATGTGCAGAGCTAGCCAAATTCAATCAGCGGGGTGGAGAGATGGCTCAGTGGTTCAGAAAATGGACTGCTCTTGCTAAGGACCTCCCAGCAGCCATGCTGGGCAGCTCACAACTTCCTGCAACTCCTGCTCTAGAGGTTTGGGTGCCACTGGCCTCCTTGGGGACCTGCACTCATATACACACATCCCCTAAACATGCACATAATTTAAAATAATAAAAATAGGCCTTTAAACCCAACACACTTCTTCAAGCTCAGAGTCCAGTCTATCTGAGACTTACTATCTTCTGGACACAACTAAGAAAGCCTGAGGCTATAAGGACACCATGGCAGACAGGGAGAAAACCCATGACACTTCCAGCTTCTGTACATACTAAGAAACCAAACACTCCTACGGTAAGCGATGCCATCTGACATTGGCATAGAAAGACCTCTCTTGCGCTTCTTTAGCTACTCTCCATATCCCACAAATCCTTCACCAGCTTTCACTAACACCTGGACTGGAAGTCATGATAAATCAGCAGCAAAGCTTGTCCTTCCAAGTCAAAGGTCATTGATGAGATCTTTATTTAATTGTTTTATTTTTTTTCTTTTAGTCCCAAACTTCTGACATCTCTAGAAGATCCTTGAATCCTTGTACACTTTTGCATACAATTTGATTTTCTCTCTCATGGGGAGATTAAGCTCAAATTTACATCCTTTCCACCTAAAAGTACAAGAACAATTTATAGCATGCGTGTGTGTGTGTGTGTGTGTGTGTGTGTGTGTGTGTGTGCGCGCGCGCACACACACACACACACACACCATTAATAATCAAAGAAGAAAGAGTGGGAGAGAACACAGGAAGGGTTTGAGGGAGAGCATCTGGGAAGGGCTGGGTAGACAAAAGGGAGGGGGCAAAGTGATGTAATTCTATTTCAATTCAAAATGTATTTAAAATATTTCCTAGAGACACAGACTGGTTGAGTATACAGGATAGAAATCCCCATCATAAACAAGGAAGTGGGTTTTTTTTTTGTTTGTCTGATGTTGCTTTCAGGAAATTTTGTAACATGCTACGTTGAAATTCTACTTACAGAGACGGGCAGGTCCTTTCACGGTAATTCTCACGCTTCGACTGCCCAAAGGAACAGCAATCACATTTTCTTCTCCTAGAAAAGTGCACAAGACAAATATAATCAAAACTCATGTGCTGAAGACCCATGGGTGTGAGCCATTGGGTTAAAACCCAGGCAGTTCCTCAGAACATTGAGCAACCATGTAACCAGTGGTTCCGCCTCTGGGTAGACCATGTAACCAGTGGTTCCGCCTCTGGGAAGACCATGTAACCAGTGGTTCCGCCTCTGGATAGACCATGTAACCAGTGGTTCCGCCTCTGGGTAGATGCCTGTGAGAACTGAGAGCAAGGATTCAACTCACACAAGTGTTTGCACATCCACAGTCACAGCAGCACTGTCTACAGCAGCCGAAAGGTGGAGGCAAGTGGCCGGCCACATGCTGTACCCGCAGGTAAAGCAAATTCTGACACAGGCTCTCACATGGCTCAGCCAGGAAGAAACTATGCTAAGTGAAACAGAACAATGGTAAAAGGACACACAGCCAAGTCCACACAAGCAGAAAGTAAGTTACTCAGGTGTGGGGAGGGGAAGAGGGAAATGGGGAGTTTTTGCTAAGTGGGTAAAGGACATTCTAGAGACAGGTGATGACGATGGTTCCCCTGAACCATACGCTTAAAACGACTAAAATGCTGGTCACGTGGACGTGAGGGATGGTTCAGTTAGGTCCTTGCAAGCATGAGGAACCTAAGTTCAATCCTCAGCACCCACACAGAAAGCACCAGGCATGGTGGCATATGCTTATAATCCAAGAGCTGGGGAAGCAGAGACAGGAGAACCCCTGGGGTTCAGTGGTTAGGCAGTACAGCCTATTGGTGAGCTCTAGGCCAATGAGAGACTGGCTCAAAAGAGGTGGATGGTACCTGAAGTTATCGCTGACCTTCACATGCATGAGCACACACCTGTGTATGATTCCCCTAACACACCCACATGTGCATGATTCCCCTGACACACCACATGTGTATGATTCCCCTGACACACACACAAAATGGTTAAAACAGTCACTTTCAAGATATATATGTGTATATATATATATATATACATATATATAAATCATAATTTTAAAAATTCATACCGTATAACCTCATACTAGAACTGTGTGTTTCCGTATTGCATTCTCATGTATGTGTAAGCTGCAGCAATACATACAACACTATATTACATGCACATGTTTCACTATACGGTGTGTGAGTGGGAAGATGAGAGTGTACACATATGAGTGTTAGGCAGAGGATTGTGTGGTTGCTCATTAGTGAGTAACAGCAAAGCATTTCAGTTCCTCTGTCCTCCAAAGGTGATGGGGAGCTCACACCCAGCTGCTGGTGGTGATCACCTCTGAGAGAGACTGAGAACTGGGGGGTGGGGGTAGAGAACATGAGTTCACGCTTTCTGATTTTTCTGTAGTAAAATGTGCTTTTTATAGACTATAAGTCTGATACATACTTTTAATTAAGTCTAAGATTTAAATTGGATAGGTCAAAGCTGAAACAATGGGTAACAGCAAAAAAGACAAGGGTCAAGAGTTTGGCTGGGAGAGTTTTAGAAAAATGTTCAGCAAAAAGTTCCATCTCAAATGACAGTAAGAATGAGAGGTGTCAGTGACAAGTTCAGGGTCAAAGCAACTCTGAAACCCTCACCAAAATAAAAGGCAGCCCGGAAACTCTGAAACCCTCACCAAAATAAAAGGCAGCCCAGAAACTCTGAAACCCTCACCAAAATGAAAGGCAGCCCGGAAACTCTGAAACCCTCATCAAAATAAAAGCAGCCCAGAAACAGATTCATATGAGCCCATTTGATTAAAGTTACAGATAAAAATATTGAATAATACATAGCAAATAATCCCTGAATTCTATCAAAAGAACTGTACACACACACAGACACACATACACACACACATACACACACACACACACACACACACAAGCTATTAATGTACTGGGTAACCAGAGGAGCATAGGCTGGCTTAAAATCATCCCTATAGATAAAAAGCATTTTCTAAAATTCTGCATACATTGCTTATACCAGTCTTACTTATTAACACCAGGAATAGAAGAATTATCCTCAGTTTGGTAAAGAACATTAGGGCCATGGCAGACTCAATGGTAAATAGCTAAAATTATTTCCAGAGGGAAAAACAAACATCATCATCACCATTATTTTTCCTGTAGATTCTTGTCAATGGAATCTGGGAAAAAAAGATCTTAAAACACTGTAGCCATAAAAGAAAAAAATTAAGTTCAAGAGATATTCTGATATTACAAGATGGCTTTCAAAAATTTCATTTTCTAATTATATATTTAAAGATATTTTATGTATCTAATGCTATGTGATATACATTATGCAAATGTAGTGCATATTATGCTGTTGCACAGCATTATGTGTTGCAGAATATTATTTTCACTGTGTAAAGATGTGTTGCATTTGTTTGTGCTGCATTTGTTTAATTATGTAAAGATGTGTTGCATTTGTTTGTGCTGCATTTGTTTAATTATGTAAAGATGTGTTGCTGTTTTACCTTGTCTGCCTAAGGCACCTGATTGGTTTAATAAAAAGCTGAATGGCCAATAGCTAGGCAGAGGAGGGATGGGGGAGTGCTGGTGGGCAGAGAGAATAAGTAGGAGGAGGAATCTAGGCTTGAGGGAGAAGAGAGAATGGGAGAGAAAGAAAGGGAGATGCCTGGGACCAGACAGACAGAAAACCACCAGACAGACAGACATGAAGTAAGACATACAGAATGAAGGAAAGGTAAAAAGCCCTAGGCAACATGTAGATGAAGAGAAACAGGTTAATTTTAGTTTAAAAAAAGCTAGCCAGAAACAAGCCTAAACTAAGGCTGAGCACTCTTAACTAATAATAAGTCTCCATGTCAGGATTTGGGGGCTGGAGGTCCGAGAAAGACTGCTACAGTTATGCACTGGTGTAGGCATACACACATGCAAAGCAGAAGTAAATGCAATAGCAGTGAGCATGCTTGGCATCATGCTGTGCCTACAGACACCACTTCCCACTACAAAGAATGAGGCTCTTTAGAAAGCCAATCACACTTTGATAAAATAAATAAATAAATAAACACTATATCATCATGGCACAGCAACTTTGAGAACTCAAGGAATCTCTTAAAGACAATTGGAGTTGGGGCGAAAGGACTTGGGGCTAAGTCCAAGTGTCCTCAGGTTGGCAACAACAAGACAATCTGAACATTAATAAAACTAATGACGACAGTAGAGCGAGTCACACAAAATACATTGAGAGCAGTGAGTTCAAGTGATCCTGGGAAATTACTGTAAGCTACATGCAGAGCATGCTCGGAACCAGTTTTTGTTTCCAAAATCGGTAAACAGAGAAAAGCATGTGTCAGGCCTTTCCACACAAACCACACTGCAGGGAACCAGGCAGTTGATGGAGGGATGTCTCTCTTATGGGAGTGTGTGAGCATGTAAATGAAGAGTAGGCAGAATGTGTCGTATGACAGATCTTCAGCAACCAAAGAGCCTCCAGAAAGAAGTCACGGCAAGCTTCCTGACATGATTTGTTAGGAACTCCAGACATCAGTGCTAAGGAACTCTCACCCCAGCAGACATGAACAGGGCTTTAGGGGGAGTCCCGATTTCGTGCAAACAGGACACAAACAGAGGGAGCAACGGCTGTGTTGAGTCGGTATTGAAATGCATCGTGGAGAACAGAGACTAGATGACAAATGACAATTTTCTTCAAGTAAACGTCAAGAGGAAAGAAGAAAAGAGCAAAGCCAGGCATAGCAGGGCAGGCCTTTAAGCCCAGCACTCACTTGGGAGGCAGAGGCAGAGGCAGGTGGATTTCTCTGAGTTCAAGGCTAGCCTGGTCTACATAGTGAGTTCCAGGACATCTAGGGCTACATAGAGATACCCTGTCTCAAAAAACTAAAAGAAAAAAAGAAAAACAGATTCCAAAGAGACCCAAGGAAACTCCTAGCCTTATTTGACAACTAATTTGAAGAAATAAAATAAAAAATAAAAAACAGCAACAAACAAACAATGGAGTAAGAACTTCTACAGAGCAGACGATGAGCAAACATTGTAGTCAACAGCATTTCAAGCCCTGGAAATTAACCAAGGACTCACAAAGGTCTGGGCAGTAATTACTCAAGAAAAACATAGGGTAAGAGCAGCAAAGACTGGGATATCAACTTATTTCTTTCTATCTTCCCTGTTCTTCACCCTCACAGTAACCTTTTTAAAAAGCCCTTAACCTGAGTGAGGGCCAGCAGCTTGCCAGACCCTGCAAGACTTGGAATGGCTTTGGAGCTCCTTAAAAGCCCAATTCCCAGTGGTCCTTACTTGGCTTTGTGTGGTCGTTGCCTGGAAGACCCCACTCACTCAGCTGCCTGAATCTGACCTGTGAGCTTGCCCAGTGCAACTCGCCTCCCCGTGGGAGTTTGAGCAAAACAATCAGAAGTTTTTGTTTAATATCAAGGCTATATGAGGTCACTGGCAACTACCAAAAACCCTCAGTGGAAGAGCTGGAAAACCATGTTCAATATACTCCTGGGAGTGGGTGGCCATATGCATGTAGGGTGGCTATTGTATGTAGGGTGTCGTATGTATGCAGGGCAGCCATATGTATATAGGGTGGCCATATGTATGTAGGGATGTATGCTTACCCAGAAAAGCCTGCAAAGGTCTTGAGCTCTCATCTGTTAACCCTGAAGCAGAGAGTGAAGGTTAGAACAAAGCTGTCAACTACTTGGTTGCCTGTTGGAAACATATCTCAACACACACACACAGAGAGAGAGAGAGAGAGAGAGAGAGAGAGAGAGAGAGAGAGAGAGAGAGAGAGAGAGAGAATTTCAAAGCATATGACAATAGAGAAAATAATCAGACACATCTAGAACATTGAACATTCTGTGGGACAACTAAAACTAAAAAAAACTTTAAAAAGGCAATACCATAGAAAATGTTTTCCACATTAAAAAAAACAAAAAGAGCAAAAAGATTTTAAAAACTAAATACACTGAAGGAAAGGACTGGTCCATGCATGAGTCAAAATATGCTTCAGCA